AATCATGAAATTTATACATATATATATATATATATTTATACATATATATATATATATATATATATATATATCAATTGCTATTCGTTAGTCTCGCTAAAACTGGAGAACGGCTGAACGGATTTATCTTATCTTGGACTTGAAATGTTGGTGGAGGTCTAGGGAAGGTTTAAAAGGTGAGAAAAACAATTATATAATGTAACTCATTGTGAACAAGCCTGAGAACAAAAACTATAGTCTACCTACACTACAGCTCTACACCGAAGCGAAGCGAGGGCGGACTACTAGTCTATAAATAAATATTTATAGTCTAGTAGTCCGTTTCACACCACTTAGCCTAGCTTCTAGGCTTGTATTATGGGATACTAGGGTAATATATACGTATACGTATTAGGGGTGGGCGTTTTTAGAATAACGATGCGCGATATCGATGCCAGGTTTTGGATGCGCGCATCCGATGCGACTGGATGCCGTTATTAGATGCCGATGCCATCTAGTTTTTGTCAACGTTACTATAGCAACAGTGCCACAAACCTATTAGTGCCGGTGAAGATGTCGCTAGCGGTGAACAACAATGTCACAATGCTATGGATAAATTGTAGTTCAAAATTTTGCCACCGGCACTGAAAAGTTTGTGCTACTACGATACTGACATTCACTTGGCATCGATGCGATGCCGGCATCGGTGCGCGGATCCGATGAGATTTATCTGATACCGATGCGCATCGATTTCACAAATATCTAAAAACGCCCATCTCTAATACGTATATGTATTATCCCCACCGGGTTTCGAACCCGGGACCTCTCGAGTAGGCGACACCTTGAATACTGACGTACAAACCAATCGGCCACGGAGGTCGTCGGAATCTATATGCACATAAAACAGCTAGAAAGGCCACAAAGACTTGAAATTTGGTATTAGACTTTCTTATTTTCACGGAAAATAGGATTAGGAACGAACGAACGAAGGTACAACTAAAAGTAGAATATATGTAAATGAGATTGAAAGGGAAAAGAGTTTCTGTGCGTTCCAGTCCCAGACTCAAAAAGAAAAGTAGTGGATCACAAAAAGGCTCGGTGATTATCACTACCATCTGGCCTAAGCAGTTTGGGAGTAGGGCTACTGATTAACTTAAGAACTTTGGCTCCTAGTGATGGGAGATGGGGAATCAAACAGCCAGTGTGGCGCTTGATAAGTCGTCGTTGCGGCCTCTGGTCTTGTGGTGCTCTCTGCTGGTGAACAGGCGTTCCAAGCCCATTGCGGATTGGTGAGCCCTAATGCCTGGAGATGCAGCTGGTCTAACGGATTCCTGTGCCTTCTAAAGCACGGATGAGTTCATAATAATAATAAATTTTTGATCACCCTTCCTTATCCGGTCATTACGAAATATACCATAATCGCGGACTGAATACGCTATTTCATTTTTTTTTATTTAGCCAGGTAGGCAAATGACTCTACCCCACCTGATGTTAAGTGATAATAAAGTCCAAGATATTGAGCTCCTCAAAGTCATTTATTAAAGAACTAGCTTCTTCCACCCGCGACTACGGTAATTATATTTATGTAGCCTTGTGACCACGGAACTTAAATAGGGCACTATAGTGCGACCAAGTTTTTGTGACACTTATATGACATTGACAGAAGGGCACCGCTGGTGAATAAGTGGTGAAAGAAGCATTGCTAAGTACGTAAAATCTTCACTTTAAAAGATAACGTTATACTTTACAATAACTCGGAAAGAGTGATAGGAAATACGAGTATAACAGGTTCATTTACACCTTCCTCTATAAATGAAAGGCTATATATTTATTTAGCTTTAATACCTTCCTAAAATTAGCTTCGATTTCGGGCACGTGCCTCAAGATCTTGAACGCGATACGATATTATTGTTATATCATTGGGCATGAAACATCAAGTATCATTTATATCCAACATCTAATTATAATCGTTTTGTTACCCGTTTAAAACCGTCTTAGCACTTCGCTATTTCACACTAATCGAAGTATTTAAAGCTATAATCGTTTCAGATCGATTCTGATAACGGAATGAAACCATATGAACGGTCACGATCGTGTACAACCGATTATAGCCCAAAAGCGTTCAGTTGTAAAGTAAGTACATAACACAAACTCCCCTCGCCAACGAAAGAATCTAAAATTGTCGACTGTCCCACGCAACTGACATCGACACCAATCAATAATGGCAGATACATTTAAACCAGTGAATGAACCGGAGACCAGTTGAATTAGGGCATTGAAATCCTGCTAGCCCACTTCTATAGGTACAAGCTGTTAGCAATTATTACCTATGCAAAATAGGTCAGTCAGAGTAGCCGCACGCAAAACGGCAGGTTAAGACAGAAAGTAATACTTAACCTCCAGAGATCTTTTTTTTATATAAAAAGAGTATGTTGATTGAAGATACAAAATTAGTAAGAGAGCATTTAGGAATAAAAAAACTGTCAAGAAAATGAGAATAAACAATAACAAAAACAAATATACTATATCTACAGAGCATTAATTCTGTATGACATGCAAAATTTCGCTTCATTGCAGAGTCGCAATCTGGGTCAATATCGCTCATTTGTTCTTTATGTTTATTCGTATTATTTTATTTGACATTCATATTCAAATGATATAAACATTGTTTTTTGGTAATAAAAAAACAAAACTATTTTTTACCAAAAACCCGACAAAAGTACAAGTAAGTAGGCAGTATGTAGTGCAGAACAATGAGTTTTCGCCGTGATCGGAGTCAGACTAGACTCGTGTAGTGTAGTGCAAGTCATTACACGGTGGGCGGGCATCGCCGGTGACTCACCTGCAACTGTTGTACCGATCTATGTCCATTGCCACACGGTAAAAATAACGGATGATGTTTTAATGTTTATCAAGCAGCGAACCAGTAACTAACCATAATAATATGTCTATGTCTACCCAATTATAATTGCTCTCATAGTGTATGATTTAGTTTTAATAGGTAGTTTTATTCTTAACTAGCGGCCGCCTGCGACTTCGTCCATGTTAGCCATGTCTTTTTTGAATTCCTTGGGAACCTTACACTTTTTCGGGATAAAGAGTATCCTATGTGTCAACCCAGGTCATAAGCTATATATGCGTACCATATTTCATCCCAATCCATTCAGTAGTTTGAGAGTAACAAACACATAAACTTTCACTTATTATGGTAGGATTAGTAGAAAGTAGGATTAAATCAAATAATATTACGAGTAATAAAATAAGCATTGTGTGTATGTTAGTTAATTGTTTGCATGCTTAAGTTCACCGCTAATCTTAGTGGTATAAATTATATATTGTGAAAAGAATACGTATTTCCAATGCACATTACGATTGGCTATGCAAATCTTTAAATATACTAGTATATACTTTATAGTTATACATTATTAAATTATACATAAACTTTATTAAATTATACATAAACAATTGTCAATACCATACATTTTACCGTATAGTATGTTAAAGAACACATAGATTTGTCTATAATGTTAGACCTCAATACTTTTATAAAATAATCACGTCTTAAACCTCTACTTCATCATATTATTTTGTAGTTAAGAGGGTTTTAGTAGTAGCAAACGGTACCCACAACACGAACGCGTCTCGAATGCCATTAATCTCATATTACGCAAATTTGATAAAGTTGCTAATATCTTCTTAACGCTCTTTTTACTCAACTGCGCAGGGTATAGCTTTTAAAAGTTTATATTTTGTTGTTGTTTTGCTTCCCATACCGGAGAGCAGAGAACTGTAATCTACATTGAACTACCTATAATGATTCTAATATCTTCTTTTCGAAGCCTGATCTAGAGTCTCTCTCGGTATAAGATTATAAAATAAATTTAGCTTAGATTATTATTTAAACCCAAAACAAATGATTGCTTACCAAATTTTAATTATCTAGTCTACTCTGCAGTTGTTAATGCAGGAGGATTAACTCGTCAATTAAAAATATGGAATCCATTCTATCAGAAATACAGTGTTCAACTTAAAACTGTTCAAAAAAATACATACGTACTGTTAATTACAGATGTTTCCGTGTTAGGTCTTCGTATAGTGAACTGCTGAGTAAGTTCTCCTTACCTTGCTTAAGTTTAAGGCGTTCTTTACTTGATTGTCTTTTTCTATTCAAAATATGTCGTAATTTTTTTGACTGAAATGACCTCATAAAACAGATTTATATTCGAATTTCCAGAAGTTCAAAGCGTATAAGAGATACCTATGCTCATAAACTATTTTGCCCAAACAGTGCAGAACGAATGCAGGTGAACGCGCACCCCTGCATCGAATAATGAACTTTTTTAATGACAACCTATCTGATTTTGATTTGGACTTGTTTACAATGTCTTTTATTCAATATAAAAAAGCCATTACTGATTGTTTACCAAACATTTAAAAATTGTGTTTTGTTTGTTGTTTACCAAACAATTGAAAATTGTGTTGCAAGTAGAATAGATATTGCAAACTTATCATGTTTTACAAAAATATAATCTCTGTGTTGTGATATATTTTTAGTGGATAACGGTGTTGGTTGTGCAATGACATCAATATATTTATCAGTGTTACGTACAATAATGCACAATTGTTAGTTATAAAAAAAAATACTCATGATGAAATACCATCTTTATCATTAAACATTTAACGAAAGTTTCTGCAGTCAGTGGAAACAGTCTCGCGACCAAATGGCATGCCGAATTCCCCCTGGCCACGCTGGTAGTTTTATCTCAATTACAATGAACATCGTAAAATCTTCATGGTGGTTAGTATCACAATTTTTTCAAAGATCCATGATTTGGGTTTTTTACAGCGACTTTAATAATGTACTCTTTAACTTTAAGACTAAATATATACATCGTTGACTAAATCAATCTTTTCCTACTATAATCAAATAATAGTTGAATGTTTAAACTCCATATATTTGAGATTTGTATCGTTTACAAGCCACTAATGCACCATACACAGGACGTATGCTAAAAGGGGCACATCGCGACAGGAAGTGATGCTTCTGGAGCCGGTTTGGCATCAGGTGTGGGAAACACCTGACATATCGCTTCACAAAGTGTATTAAAATAACTTTAACTGGATTTTCAGTATTAGGTAAGCATTGCTGTATGATTACGCATTTACCCATCTTTGGAATTAATGTCCTAAAACTTTTTTTATACATAACGTAAAACGTCACTTGTTGTCAAACAGTCCTCTGTTTAATGTAGCAGACAACAAAAACTGTCGTGTAAGTAATTAAAAGACGCTTATCTCCTTGTCACGTGCGAACTTTTCTCTCTAAAACCCCTCCCGTCCCTTGGTATACCGCTGGCTGATAACCGTGCAGCGCGCGGCGCGAGCGCAACTGCCAACTCAGTCCCCTCTCGGATGTCGTGCGGAGTGGACGTACTGCCGTCCATAACTTCGATAATTCCAAAAATCTCAGTGATGTGATACCATGAACGTGAATTGTGCAAGTGGATGAGTGCCCGAGAATTTCAGTTTTATTTCATGTGAGCAATCAAGGCACTCTGCCTATGCCCGGATCTTGCCGATACCGTTGTGTCGCGCTCCGATGATTCGGTTAATAACTTGTGGATCTACAGTGACTGTGTAATAGTGGCTTTGCTAAGATTTAGCGCCGTGGAAAGTTCACTTACCTTGGACGGGTAAAATTTGTTGGAAGGGGTCTCACGACAGACAAGTTTGCTATAGTCACTAACTTGGTTTTGTATTTTATTTATTGTCGATACAGTATCAGGTCATGCCGCTTTCAACTGTTGCTCTAGCAGGTTGTTTTATTAGTTCAAGTGTGATGTGGTTTTATTTATCGATAGGTATATAAGTTTAACAATATTCTCGGTTGTCTTCGTCGTCGATTCTCACTCACTTTTTCTGCATTTTTCTTTTTCATCTTTTATGCTGGTAAATAGAAGTAGGTATTCTAATAATGCATGTACTTTATGTTTGTGATACCTCACATGAAAAGAAATGCTTATAAAGACCAAAGTTTTGAAGCTACTGCAACTGATATGTTTACTTATTATAATAATAATAATAATAATAATAATAATAATAATAATAATAATAATATTCTTTATTGTATAACACCACAATGGACATAACAGTAAGATTACACTGACAGAGAGACATTACACAATGGGCGGCCTTATTGCTTAATAGCAATCTCTTCCAGGCAACCCATGACGGAAAATTAAATAAGTATAAAGAACAAAAAAAGGGGGGAAGGGTGTAAGAGCAATATTATAAAATAAAATAAAAACGGTAATAATAATATAGATGCATATTTATATGAAAAAAATAAAAAATAAATAAAGGAAAGAGGTACTTTCAAAGTAAAGATAGGAAATGACGCTTAACTTGCTCACGGAACGAGTCCAGAGTGCGAGCCCTTCGTATGGATTCCGGTAATGAATTCCACAAGCGAACAGAATGCACAGTGTAGGAGTAAGAAAGGAAATCAGTCGAATGGCAAGGTATTTCTAGAGTGAGATTAGAAGAGGAGCGTAGAACGCATTGTGAAGAGGATGATCGAAAAGAGAAGCATTGTTTTAGATAATTATATTTAGATTAATTAGACATTTATAGCATTGTTGACATAGCCTTGAGCTGACATATAACACGACGATAAAATAACTCTACTAGATAGTGTAACATAATGAAAAAAGCCTAAAAGATAAAATCTGTTTACTGAAACGGCAATCATAGTTATGCTTGATAGATCGTCGTTTTCCAGTGGTTAGAAGGTTTTGTTCAGGCCAAGTGAAACGGTGGCAACTGGACCTTGATTTCCGGAGTTGCAACAGACAATTCAACTGCGATTATTAAAACGGAACCAAGTTACAGCCTCGTGGCTGTTTTGCAAGCGGGTAGACTGTAATAATACAAAACGCCTTGTGAATCTATAGATAATCGATTTTACGCTTGTCTTTAAATTGAGGAATAAGGAGTACAAGAAATATAATTGCAGTTGTATAATAATTAACAGTTAGTAGTCACCTAGAAACTATGCTTTTAACCACAAAAGTAGTAATATCGTTGCGATTAGCGGTCATCAGGTTTCACAAGTCTCCGCTTTCAACTTAAAACTTACACCCGCAAACCTTTTTATGCAGTCAAGGTCTGACCGAATCAAGTTTGGGTTAATACAGTAAGTACCGATTCAGCATTGTTCTTGGCGGTTTGTTTCGCGATAATGTTCAGTGTTGTATTGTCGGTTTCTAATTATTTTACATCATCAAACTTTTGTTCTTTGGCATCTGATTCTTTATTGTTTAATGATATTCGTTCTGCTCCGTTCGCCGTTCTCCGTGATATTATCGTGCTTACAATTTTTATGCCGAATTCTTTCAACAGTATATCAACTGGGAGGTGTTATTTTCTAGCCTCTATTATATACGCATAATGATCTTGCTAAATACACTTATCAAGTGTAGTTTAAGTTAACGAAACATTAATTTTGACCCTGTAAATGCAACCAGGAAAACAGTATCTGGATAAGTTAACAATTTTCACATTACGTTATAACAACTTACTATTGAGAGAAGATTTTATACCACAGCTATGAAACATGACTCAACTGCAATTAAGATTTCGCACATTGACGTCAAACCACTATTGTGAACAATAAAAGAATCCAAAAACATTAAAAATTAATGAAAACATTCGCAGATGTGCCTAAGCATTATATTTCACAGCCAATAGAAACTTTCTATGCCTTCTTTCGTAATAGGAAAGTGTGGGAGTAAGAACCACTTAAATTTGGCAATGAGACATTTAAACACACACACTCATACAGAGAGAGATATGTATAATTTATGGTTTTGCAAATTATAAAACAATTTTAGTTATTCTAGCTTTCACAATACGACGAGGTACATGGTAGCAATACCGCTAATAACTATAATGTTAGTGACCATTAAAGTTTAAAACAGTTTAGTTCAATTTTATCATTAGATCTGGAATCGTCCGGATGCTTCATCAACAAGTCAACAACTCAATTCGATATTTCAGCTTTTACCTATAATATTATACCTGTTCCAGTTATCGTATCTACTAAGGATCGTTTATCGTTATCTCAGGACGCGATAGTAGATAGCGTTGCCGGCATATCGCCAAGTGATGTCATCGGTTATTGTTTAAATTGATTTTACCTTTTCAATGTAAAGAGTTTTCGTGGCATAATGCATTTAAAGAATAGTATTTAGATATTTTCTATCCTTTCATATTACAATCCTTAGAAGGAAATTATTAAGATCGTCAAATTTAATATTTAGGAATAATGTACAGTATGCAAAATTTAACGGTAAAATTTAATCTTGTTAAATGAAGGACTGTTCACCATTTTTATTATTATACCATCACCAGAGAATAACATAAAACCTAGAATAAATGATCATACAATCTTCTATCATTCATTTTATTAGTAAACAGGAAGTGCAGTGAACAGGAAATTTCTTTTCGCTTAGGTATTCCTTAAAATATACGCGATTTATCAAAAAACCAACAGAGTGTTTGTCGTCTATAAAAAGTTATATATAATTATCTTAGCAGCGTTTTGGTTAAATATTCCATATACGTGAGAGATGATACCATCTGGATTCTTAACTTTTTGCTTGCTCTCACCATTTGTATTTTGTTGAGCTTTTTGAAGTTCGCAAGTTCCGTCTTGATGTCCGAAAAGGGCAAGGAGTTTTTTTAAATTAATTAAAGTGTAAACAGACTCTAGGTCGTCCTGTTAAAGGTCTGTCTTATAATGAATGACCTTGGCACAAATATCCGTAACAGTAAAAGTGTCAAAGTATGCTGGTTACACACGTTCTCGTGTAAGCAACAACGGTTTATATCGTGAAGGTGACGAGCTTTATTCAGTGTTGGTTGACTGCCGAAGTATTGACAGTTCAAATAAATTAAAGTCAAATTATGTACGACGGCGGCGTAATGTTGAAAGTTAATTCCGTAAGGTTTCTTTAAAAGCCCAATGTAATTCAAAACCTGTATACGTAATGTTAATGATGTTTGGATCGTTATTTAGTTACCGATTTATTACATCATGTGTAAATGATTTTGATTGGAGGGGTTTCTTCAACGAAACTCAGAATTTTGGTGAAAGATCCTCAATCGATGTTGATATTCTATTCGATTGGTTTTTGTTAAAATAAAACGGATTTTCTATAGTTAACTAGTTCTAGTTGTGGTTACTACTACTTAGTCTACGAGTTCCAATATCCCTGGAAAGTGCTTTAATGGAATAAAGCGTATATCTAGTTTAAGGGCTAAGCCAATTTATTTCCCTTTGTCCCGAATTTCCTTCAAACTCAATTTAGGTTCGTTTCATTTAGCTATTCCATTTTAATCCACTCATCAAAACCATCAGGGATCTATCTCTTTTCCCTTTCCACTTATAAGAACACTAATCCATTCAATCAATTCCTTTTACTAATTCTGGTCTTAAACGTAAATATCCTGTCTTCTTTTTTTAAGATTTAAACATCTAGCAGTTGAAATTCTTAAAATATAAATTTAATAGTCTGGTCTTCTTTGAATACAATGTTTAATTTTGTTCTATCACGTTAAAACACATGAACCTTTTGCAGTAAATCGCAAATTTCTGTTACTTCGGTATTTTAAAACATTGCTTTAGACGTAACACGTTCGTTAAAACCCATTAATTATTAGCAATCAGTATTCCCCGTTCATAAATCAAACAAAGGCGTCTAGCACCGGTCGTACTTGTGCCAGTTTGTCGACAAACAGACAAACAGTTGCACACCTTTATCGTATGCGGTAAATATATATGTACTATCAAAGGACATAACGAAGTATTTTAGGATGCTTAGATACCTCACCTATATTGTATACTAGCTGTGCCCCGCAGTGTTGCCCGCAGTTTATTAGGGATGTTTTCCCGCAGTAAAACGTAATCCAGAGTATCAGCTAAATCCATACCAAATTTTATTAAAATCGCTCCAGCCGTTTAGACGTCAAGAAGTAACAAACACACCCATCACACACTCACAAGTTTTCGCCTTTATAATATAAGTGTGATTTGGTCATTAAAATATTTGAAGAAATCTATCGTTAAAGAGATCTATTACATGCTCTACTCTGGTATCAAAATGTAAAGATCAAAGTTAAAACATTTCTTGATAAGTCACCACAACCCCGTATCAAACTGAGTTTCACAAATGAATACCTACAACTTATAGGAGCTGGGAAATTCTCAAAGATTCCCACATTATAATATCTCTTACAGGTCTCTTTAATGGCTTTCGTATAAATTACATATAAAATGGAATAAGTCCAACATTCAAATTCGCAAAATTACAGCCTCGCTCTGTCGAGTCAAATTGAATAGATCTCAGTGTGTCATAGGCGTCGAAACTACATAATATAATAAACATGCCGCGACTGAGATCAAAGTAAATGATTCATTTGCCCGAAACGTAGGGTACGCGAGGCTTATTTGTTTCAATGAATCAAATTCAATTTCGTTGACATTATCTAATTTGAGCTGTTGTAGAACAACAAAAAAATGGGTAACTCGGAACGCATACTGATACAAAAAAAAAGTTTTATCGTTAAGAGAGTTGTTGCATGATGGAAAACAGAGAAGACGCGTTTAGTATTAGTAAATTGTCATATTTTG